CCGGTGGTTCGTCCACTTCTGGACGGGGGTCTTGACGGGGGGAACTTGAGTTTTGATTACCTTTCCGTTTTACAGATCTGGTTCATTTATGTGCATACTGTTGTTCCCTTACCTCTCAGGCACGTGCACTCCGGCTTCGAAAAAAAAAAACATCCATGATTAGTCGCATCCTTCGATATGCTTGTTGGGTGGCAGTGAGTCTGTTGTTGCTACTCTAAAAAGGAACACGGGAACCCACACGGGGATAGAGAGTAAAAGGTGGTGATGATGATTTTGATGGAAACGAAATGATTCTTTAGTCATGCGACTAAAAAAGGAGGCACCAGAAAACATCAGCAGCTGATCGAGTCAGGGGCTGTGTGGTCGCAAGGGATGGTGTCCGCCTCGAGTGCTCTAGGTCCCTGGTTCAAGCCCCCGGTGAAGGCTGGGAATTTTTTACACGGACTGCTAGTAATTTCCCCCTGGTTTCTGGGTAGTAAGATTGGACGCCTGTGTGTATTGTTGCGCACGTAAAAAAAATTCCTTGGCAGTCTGAAATCAGCAAAGAGTAGCCTAACGGCGCTGCTCGGGCAAACATTTGGAGTTAAAACTCTACACAAAGTATATTAATATCCTCACCGGTGATACGGAGTTTATGCACTGTGCAGAGATTCTTCGGACTCAAGCTTGAGTTAGAAGAAGTAGAAGGGAGCACTTATAAGTTACAACATCTGGGCCATGATGTTGATCCGTCGTATAACACTAAAACTAGACCTAGTGGAGTTTCCGAGACCGCAGCAGACCGGTGATCTTATAATTGCTCCGTTTCTGTGCCAGTGGAAGTCAGTCAAAATGTACTTTACTTTACCGATTGAAAACTGTTGAGAAACTTGTCAGTCCCAGTAAAATCTTGTAACCTGTACATGCAAAAATCAGCAGTGTTGTTTGTAATAAAAGAGGTGATAGACTGGCAGGTTCCGCAGTAAATGAAGATGGCCGGCTGATGGATCACGCAGACATTGTCAATGCCCTTAGAGAGATAGGACGTTCTGGGGATTTTGGAAGCATCGTGACCACATCACTGCTAAGAATACTAGAATTGGAAGTAGAGATCGGCACAGCCAAGCATGAGAAGCACACGAAGTTTTGTTAACCAACATAGGACTGGTACTATTAACCGCGCGACGATGATGAAAATGTTGAGGAGGAATCTGACCACCTATTGATGTGTCCGAAGTGCTGTGAAGATAATCCACCTCATAACTCAGTCGTAGAAAATGACACAGACCTAGCAAATTGCCGCTGGGTGATCTATCATGCATCAAGAAATCGAGCAAAAGCAGTTCCAACTTTGTGTCAAATTAATCACTCCATTGTTGTTCCGCTTCTGTGCCAACGAAAAACCTACGGACTGTTCATCACTGTCCCTTGCCGGGACATAAAATAGATACCGACTGCAGTCTTTTCAAGTCAAATAGCATACACGCGCATTAAATGCATACGACAGCGGTCAGAAGTGCCGACACAAACAGTCCAGAGCCAGAAAGGCAATTCATCTAAGTGGAAGCAGCAGTTACAAATATCAGTAGTTGCACACGCAGTTAACTGCATTAGGCACCACAAATTCTCTGGCAACGGGCCACTCGCCGTTTTCTCAATCTGTAGTTCACAACTTAAGCCATGTTGGACACCTCGAAAAGCATTCCAAATTAAATCTGCAGCTCACAGTGTGGCACCATGCAGCTCAGTAGCCGGGCGACGGAACTATATCATTTTAGTCTACAACTAACTATTGTCAGAAGCAAAAACATGGTACAACTAAATTCAGTTATCTGCCTATCCACTATATTGACAGGGTGGTGTAAAGGGGTCTAGGCATTAAAGATGTCTTCAGTATAAATGATCTAGAACATCCAGGAATTATTTGGCGGGGTACATGATGATGATGAATAGTGTGATGAGGTGAGCCATCATGTGTGTAAAAATACTGTGCCACTTAGATTGTAACTCGTGTTTATATGTTATCAGTGTTTGCAGGCGAATATGCATGTGTGTCTCAATTAAACTATACGTTTTCCCATGAAATAAACACATTACATGGCAAAAGTTACACAACAGCTAATTAGATACATTTTTCTTATCTTTTCCTTGTGTTCGTTCTTATCTGAAGCCATGTTCTGATTTTTACAGTAAAGTAAATTAAGGTAATAAAGATTTGTGTTGTTGTTCACACAGGTAAGTGTTGATGAATGAATAATGCGTTACAAATATAACACTTTCTTACTACTTACTCCTTTACAAAATATTAAACTTGAAATCTCCTTCTTTTATTCTACTGCTTATGTCATAAAGCGTCACAGAGTGTAGTTATTTGTAGTTTCCTGTCTTTTGCTTGCTGCCTAGCTTGTGTTTATGCCACATTGAATTTATGTAGTGTATCCCTTACTCCCTCCACCCATCTCTTTCTTGGTCGGCCTCTTGCCTTGTAGCCTGCTGTTCTCATGTAGAACGTTCTAGCTGCTGGCTGATTTTGTTTGATTCAATTCCTTGGTGTTCTGAATCAATCCCCCTGACGATATTCTTCTTTGGCACTGATTTAAGTCTTCCCCCATTATTTCTCTTGGTCTGCCTCTGCCTCTTCTACCAGTGATCTTTCCAGTCGTCACGATAATTTCCAGTGCTCCTTTTCTCATCACGTGACCCAAGAACATTGCTTGTCTCCTGTTTCTTGTTGTACATAATGTTACACTTTCCTTAGAAATTGCCAATAAAAAAAAATGAAATATTCGTGAAAATTTACAGTAATTTAACTGATGCCTAAGCCGAATATGAAGAAATTAAATGGTATCACAGAATGACCTATGTTGAAGCACTGGAATAGAAATTCATGTGGACAAAAAGTTGGAAAAAAAGACGCTGGCGTAGTTAGGACATACATCGAAAAAACCGGAGAATTATATGACTAGAATGTCTTTGCGCTGGCAGCAACAGGGGCATAGAAATAAAAGCAAACAAAACACACACACACACACAGAGAACGGAGCTAGACAATAAAGTTAAAAAGATGGGGAGGACATGGGGTAAGCCGTGTTGTGGCTGTCGACGTCTACTCCGTCCATTTCCTAGGTATACTGATACCCGTTTTTCGCTCCACGTCTCCGCGTTGGTGATATATAGGCCAGTACCTGTCCTTGACATCCTCTTGAAGGAAGTTTTTCGCCAGAAACACGGATGAGTATAATTTATTTTGTACATTAGAGTCCTATGTAGTCACTGCATAGTTAGAGCAAATATTTGTGTGTCTGTACTGTGTTGTTCTTTATGTGCTGATGAAGGCTAATCGCCGCAACGTCCTTTGTTTGTTTATTGTGATCAATTTTGTAAAGCTAACATAAACTGTTTGTTTTTTCTTACTAACTTTTTCTCTTCCCTATAATTTCCTACCGTTTTAAAAACTAGCGAAGAATAGAACGAAATGGCATGATTTGGTTGAGGGCTTATATTCCACTGGGGAATAAAAGGTAGAAGAAGAAAAAAGTTACAGGAAGGGGAAGATAACTACTAACACAGTAAGCTGACAACCGATAGACAGCTAAATAGAGCACAGTAAGCTGCCTTTTTTCACGCTACTAGTGTATCGAACATATTGTGCTAAAAAATTGTTTTTAGCTTCTAAGAAATACAGCCATAGAACTGCAGATAAAGAGATCAGAAAGAAAAAAAAAACAGTTACGAGATGTTACGTATCATGATAAACATCAGTTAAAGCAGGCGAATGAATTTACATATCTAGGTAGTCCTGTTTTTCATATGACGGAAGAATTAATAAAGAAATACAGCGAAGATGCAGAAAGAAGAAAAATAGTCACGACAAAAATGAAATGATTACTCATTGTGCTAAGTGTAGCAAGGAGAGGTGGACAGAAACGATTATATCAGGAGAAAGTCGATACAGAACCAAGATTAAACTGTATCGATAGCCAAAATATCACATGGTTTGGCCATGTAACAAGACTTGCAACAGACAAGGCCCCATGCATATCAATGTTATACAGATAGAACGGTAAGATAGCAGGCGATGCAGTGTGAAAAATACGGGTCACGGAAATATCAGAGGCACTGAAATGTACAATATACGAAGTGAACAGAAGAGCCCGTTCTTGAGATTTATTTCTGTCCGATGCTGCAAGGCAATCAATGTGTAGAGAAAATTTAGACCAGAGATTGTCTTAGTCTAAAACACGACCGAATCTTTTAGAGAAAAGGGTATCAGAGTTTCTGTCAAAATCAAATTATGCCAATGGTCCTGTTCACTTTTCCCAACCCATTTACACACTGTCTGAGCTTTCATTAAAACTTTCTCAGACTCTTCTACGTCGGAGTGGTGTCACGTTGTCTTGCCTACAATTACATCACCACCCATATCGTGTGTTCCATATTACACGACGACACAGCTTTCAACGACCCCTAAACATCTATAACTGGCCCTAACCCAAACCCCCCTATCCACAGCATAAGCCTAGGTCACACTAGAGGGTCTTTTATAAGAAACCAGTACAACGTGACACCCCTCTGACCTAGATCAGGCTGAAATAGTGTATAGATTGGCTGGTCAACACATGATCGCTACAATGCTGCCCAGGCTTCGCGCTATGCTGGTTCAATTGTGGAAGACTTTTTTTTCAACGTGAGCGTGTTTTGCTAGTCACACTCGCCTTCGCCATCAGATGTGATCCCCATGCCTCCATCTGGCCCAAAAAAATACTACGACCTCTGAGATTGAAAGGCGCCAGCTAAATCACTGATGGTATCTATTTTCTTCCGTGATTGTGAAAGTGAATGTTACTTGTTGTGAACATCGAAAACCTAGTACACAGGTCCTACATATACGTGCCCTGTCCGCCAATATAGCAGTCATCTCAATGTTTTTCTTGTCATGTCTGACAGAGGAACACTTGTGATCAACATCCTAACCTTTTCGATTGCAGCTATCTCCATGAACACCTTGCCCATGAAATGTTATGTTTCCATGCGTGATGATGATGTTTCATCTCATGTTTGCATCTGGCGTCGATTATCAGTGTCCTTATGGGGTAATATATGTATACATGCAATCATCCATCCAACCATCCATTCACCCATTCATGATGGTAACCCCGCCAACCTCCTCCAATCCATCCAACTGTACATACATGCACGCATGCAGGCAGACAGACAGACAGACTGATAAACAGACAGACAGAACGAATGAACAAACAAATTTTATTTTTAAAGGGTAAGACAGACAGACAAACAGACAGACGGACGGACGGACGGACGGTCGGACGGACGGACGGACGGACGGTCGGACGGACGGACGGACGGACGGACGGACGGACAGACGGACAGACGGACAGACAGACAGACAGACAGACAGACAGACAGACAGACAGACAGACAGACAGACAGACGGACAGACAGATGGAGGGACCGACGGACCGACGGACCGACGGACGGACGGACCGACCGACCGACCGACCGACCGACCGACCGACCGACCGACCGACCGACCGACCGACCGACCGAACCGACCGACCGACCGACAGACAGATAGATAGATAGATAGATAGATAGATAGATAGATAGATAGATAGATAGATAGATAGATAGATAGATAGATAGATAGATAGATAGATAGATAGATAGATAGATAGATAGATAGATAGATAGATAGATAGATAGATAGATAGATAGATAGATAGATAGATAGATAGATAGATAGATAGATAGATAGATCTAGATAGATAGATAGATAGATAGATAGATAGATAGATAGATAGATAGATAGATAGATAGATAGATAAGACAGACAGACAGACAGACAGACAGACAGACAGACAGACAGACAGACAGACAGACAGACAGACAGACAGACAGACAGACAGACAGACAGACAAAGACAAAGACAAAGACAAAGACAGACAGACAGACAGACAGACAGACAGACAGACAGACAGACAGACAGACAGACAGACAGACAGACAGACAGACAGACAGACAGACAGACAGACAGACAGACAGACGGACGGACGGACGGACGGACAGACAGACAGACAGACAGACAGACAGACAGACAGACAGACAGACAGACAGACAGACAGACAGACAGACAGACAGACAGACAGACAAAGACAGACAGACAGACAGACAGACAAAGACAGACAGACACAAACGAAATAAGAATATTTTTCTGCTGTAGGAATGCGAATGCTTCAGAGCACGAATCATGTGCGACAACCTGGGTATGGAGGAGCTTCCTCCCTTGCTAACCACCCAGCCAACGGTCAATACCTATCTGTCTGCAGATGTAAGTTGTCTGACCAGTTCGCATACTGTTGTCACATGTCACATTTTTTATCCGCAGAAGTAATCACCAATACGCTCATTGCTATCTAATCACCAGTATTTTTACAACACACACATACACACACACACACATACACACACACACACACACACGCACGCGCGCACATACACACACACACACACACACATACACACACACACACACAAACACACACACACAAACACACACACACACACACACACACACACATACACACACACACATACACATACACACACACACACACGCACACATACACATACACACACACACACACATACACACACACATACACACACACACACACACACACACACACACACACATACACACACACACACACACACACACATACATACGTGCAGTTAACTCACAATATTGTTACATTATTCATAGAATACGATAGCAAGCATTACATCTCAGAAGATCAGCTATAAGAGCAAGAGGAGGGCAGCGGAAAAAACGAATCGACAACATTAAAGACACTCTACGCCTTCACGGCATGACAATAGTTAGTGGTTGCCAACGTTCACTGGATCGCAAATTATTCGTCCCCACGCCGCTTAACGGCAGAAGTGGTTATGATAATGATGATGCTGATGATGATTCATGGAACAATCTCAATGTTAACAATTTAGTAGAGAGGTCCCATGTTTGGCTCTTTTGCATTCCAATGGAAACCAAGCTATGTGGAACAATGGAAGACAAGCGTTGAACCACAAACTTCATAACAGGCCTGTGGCCGTGGCATCTGAAAACCGCTGAGAGAGAGAACAAAAAAGAAGAAGAAGAAGACTTAACATACCTATGGTTATCCATGTGCCTTATCTCATTTACCCCACGCTGTGGTGGACAGCATATTTCGGTACACAAGTGCATTTTACCGAGTCCTCTTGGTAACGTCGCTAGAGGTGTAGAGTTTGCGCATTGTGGGACTCTCTGTAGGAGGCTGGCAGAGGAAAACCGAGTCATATGGGATATAACATAACATAACCCTTGTCCCGTTAAGGTCATAGAGGTGTATCGATAGAAGAAGCACTGTCACACAAAACCCACGATCTTTGTCTTCCCCTTGATGGATCACTCAAAACCCGCTATCTTTGTCTTCCCCTTGCTGGATCACTCAAAACCCGCGATCTTTGTCTTCCCCTTGATGGATCAATCAAAACCCGCGATCTTTGTCTTCCCCTTGATGGATCATTCAAAACCCTCGATCTTTCTATGTCTTCCTCTTGATGGATAAGTGTATGATAACTTAGTCCTGTCCATTTCTTGATGTTGTCGTTCCATGTTCTGCTTTGCCCCCCTATCTTCTTTGACTCCCCCCCCCTCCCCCCCCCCCCCCCCCCCCCTCCTCTCAGTGTTCATTAAAGTACAGTCTTTGCAATCGAATCATGTCTTACCACAAGCGTGAACCAAGCTAGCTTGAAAAATATGGGATAAAAATGGGATATAAACCCCAATGCCATAAACTGTATCCTTTGAACTTTAAACTTTGAACTGTAAACTAAAATGTTCACAATTATCCACAGAACAATGCGATCAGCCATATCCGAGCCGGCACGATACCAGCCGGACTGGTGGAGATCTCGCTTGTCAACAACCCCATAGTTTCCATAGACGACACAGCCTTCGCTCTATCTTCCACCACATTGGAGATCATCTCCATCACCAACGCCAGATTTACCCGAATCCCTGACGCTTTCAGAAATTTAACCGCCCTGAAATATTTCACTCTTTCTGGGCTTCAGATTCAGGACTGGAATTCGGATGTTATGAAAGTGATTGGAGCAACTATAGAAATGATGTCCCTGGGTCCTGTTGGTCTAACCTCATGGCCATCGTGGTTTCAGTTCTTCACATCTCTAACAGAGGTCACGATCAGCGGAAATGCTATTGCTTCTATTCCAGAAGATGCTTTTGACCAGATCTACAACCGGTTAACTAGTTTTGGCATAATCAACAGTAGTTTAACAGAGCTACCAAAAGCGCTATCGAAACTCAGTGTTCTGGAAACTCTGATTGTACAGGTCTCTGATCTATCGGAGCTAGCATGGCTCCCAAGTTTTGGTAAACTGACCACGTTAAGACTTGAAGATGCTCATTTGTCTAGTGCCGGTAATCTAAGCAATGCCTTGAAAGTTGTCGCCGACTCCGTCGATTTCGTAGGGCTGCAAGGAAATCGCCTGACCACTATCCCAGAATTGTCCTTCATGACCACCCTTAGCGCTGTTGACTTTATGCACAATCGGATATCTGATACATTATCTGGATCATTTCCTCCTGGCGTGGAAACCGTTGATTTATCGTACAACCTCCTTCCAGCCATTCCTCGTCCTATTTACAATCTAAAATCACTTGCCTATTTAACAATTCCATGGAATTACGTAACTGGACTCACAGGAACCGAAATCCCAACATCAACAACACAAGCAGACTTTGGACACAACTTGATTTCAGAATTAACGGATTCGAGTTTTCCTGAAAATTCCAGTATAATATATCTCACGTTGAGCTATAACCCGATTGTGAAAATTTCCAGCAGTGCTTTCCAAAATCTCCTACATTTGGGTTCGTTGCTTATGACGAACACAAACATAAATCGTCTGCCGGTATCGCTAGCTCCTCTCAAGACCCTGTACTACTTTGACATTAGCGGGTCTCAGAATTTAGTTTGTACTTGTGAAGAAGTGAGTCTCAGGCCTTTGTTTCTGAGATTAGAAAGTATGAAAGGTAACTGTGGTCAAATCGATATTTATTATTTCTACACCAGTTTGAGCGTAGCTTGTCCTACATGAGATTAGTCTCTGGAAGTAAAACGATTGTTAACTTTAACGTTTGGCGCATTACGTATTATCTCCCTGCGGTAAAAGCCGTTTTTGCCCGTGAGATTGCATGAGGAGCTAATACATTGTACGTAAGATGTTGAACAAATGTTTCTTATATTTTGCATCGTGGGTTCCCGAAACTGGTAAGAGTTCGTGAAGCTGATATTAAATTTATGCATTGTATTGCTTTGGCGCATTGATGCGGATTCTTGTCTATGGAGAGAATAAGGTTAGTTGCGTATCCTTTACTAGACGTTGCAAAACCAACCATAACAGCTCTTGGCTGTCGTGTGGTTTTTCTAGGCACATTTATGTCCAGTAGTTTGCCATTGCTTTCTGGACGGTCAGCTTTTTAATACCACTGTCGAAACCAACGCAAGACGCATGACCCTCAGTTGGGATCGATCCCGGCATTACGAAGCGTTCGCATCGACTTAGCCACAGAGTCAACATGGGGAGAATATGGGAATATAATATATCAATTCCGTCTCAATATAGGTTGTAATTTTGTGTGTGTGTGTGGGGGGGGGATGGGGGTACTTTAAAGCCCAAGTCCTGGCTATCGTCGGGAGCCCTAGTATAACCTAGCGGTTAAAGGGCGTTTCAAGGACTTGTGCCAGGGGGATTCTCATCCGATTGGTGGCGCCCTGTGTCATATAGTGTTAAGCGCTCGTTGTGCTGTCTCAGTGGTGCTGAAGGTAGGTAGGTAGTTGTACCAGGACATCACACAAGTGATAAACACACGGTGACACAAAGTGCCACCATGCGGATGAGGATCACCCGTGGAGAAGTCACAGAAACCCCTTTCAGCCGTGAGGTCATATGTCTAAGGCTAGGCTATATCAGGGTCCCTCGGCAAAAGCCAGGGTGGGGCTTCAAATAACAAAAAATTGCATCCCACATGTAGATGACTAGTAATGTTGAACGTCACTCACCCAGTATGAGAATACGGTGCATTTTTATCTGTTTTGTGGTGCGATGACATTGTTTACAAGCAGGAGCTTCTTCTTCTTTCGTTCGCTTGAAATAAATTATCTATATCTGCAATGCTGTCTCTAGTAAAAACTTCACCGTCTTTTGTAATTCACTAAGCGGCCCTTAAAGTTTGACTTCCACAAGTGTCTCTTTTGGCTAGAAGTTTTGCCTGGAAGCGTTGAATATGGGACAGCCTTGGAGGATGTGATCTGTTGTCTCAGGTGCCAGTCCACATGTACACATGACTGATTCGCCAATCTTAAATTTTGTGTACATGTGGAAGCGAAGTCGATTGTGCCCTGTTTTAAGGCGAAGGGAAATGACTTGCTCTGGTCTGTCCATAATATGGTAATCGTCTTGTGTCAGTTTCAATGGCATTCTGGTTGATTTGATTATTCTCTTCTTCTTTTGATAAGAGACTGGTATGTCGGGTTGTTCTTCGGTTGCATCTTCCTTAGCTAGTTTATCAGCTCTTTCGTTTCCGGGAACTCCAAATGGGAAGATATCCACTGCATAACTAAATTAAAACGGTTGCCTAGTTCGGACAAGCAGGAGCGAAAGTTAAGGTCCTTGTGCTGCGTCACCTCAGTGTATGGAAACCTAGTGTAGTACTCCTGCCACACGTCCACGTCGTGTACTACTGATGCTGGCTTATGTAGCAATCTGGCTGTGGGTGTTGGTGACAGGGCCATTTTAACAACATTATCGGTCCCTGGGGAAACCGGTGTGTTGAGGCAACCACTCATGTGAATGGAATGTGAACGGGCGATAATACTAAACATGTATTTATTTTACCGGCATTTCAAAGGAACTTGTGTTAAAAGATTTACACAGATTAGATAGTACAATATAAAATTACTACAAACTTGTATGGACACTCACTTGAGCCTTCTATGCTCGTGGGACGCCTAGGGATTGGCCCTGTGGGGTCCATACTTTAAGACAATCTGGCTGATGGCAGTTAGAGATGCAGTGTTGAGGAAACCTCTGGCACTTGTTGACAGCCCCTACACCCCCTCAGAAAAAAAAAAAAAACCAGACTGAGTCTTCTAGCAAACGACAAACATTTGTTCAAATATCCGTCGATCGGGAATCCAATGGAAGGATCACGTTGGCTACAGTCATCGACGACCGGGTATCTCATGTGTACTTGTGTATGTCTCCTTTAATAGCATTACACTGCAAAAGTAATTTTGAGAGCTACTTGGTGGCGAGCAATGCTCAGCCATTTTATATGGCGCAAATAACTAAGTCATAATTATAACCTAATGCTCCCCCCACCACCTTTTGGGGATGCTGGCTAAACGCGATGTGTAAGCGATGTTTTGTAACGGGCGGACGGGCTCTCCTGTAAACTACGGCCGGTAGACAACAGTTCACGGCCGGTTAGTCGCAGTTCTGTCCCCTGGCTGCAGTGCAATTACGGACTGGAGACGGCACGAATCAAAAAACAAAGTGAGGTCGAAATACCTGGCAGACTCAAAGTTCAATTACCGCTTCTTGCGACGCATTACGGAGTGGATTAGAGGGAGAGAAACAAGTAACATAATTACTGTGTGTTGGCGACAGACAGCGTGCAGTGCCCTACTGTCATCATACGGTTAGGGTTTGGGTTAGGTTTAGGCGTAGGGTTTAGGGTTAGAGTTTGGGTTTGGGTTGCTACGTTGAGTTTCTGCGAAGACGAGATGCGGCGACACTAACCGCAACGCTAACCCTAACCCTAACCCAAACCCTAACTCTAACCCTTACCCAAACCCTAACCCAAACCGTAACCGTGTGATTATAGCAGGGCAGTGCACGCTGTCTATCGCCAACACACGGTAATTGTGTCAATTGTTTCGTTCCCTCCTTTTCCACTCCCTTATTGCACTGTAGCCAAGGGACAGAACTCCGACTAACCGGCCGTCTATTGTTGTCTACCGGCCGTAGTTGACAGGAGAGCCTTATACGCTGTGATTCCTTTCTATATCAAGAGATCAGACGGTTAGAGGGTGTGCTCTCAAGCGGGAGAGCCCAAGTTCGAATCCTCAGTATGGTTTAGGATTTTTTGAGTGTGTGTTTTAGGGGCAACAATACAATCCTAACCTGTACAGTCCCTGGCGACATGTCTTGCCAGGCGGCCTAGATTGCTTGGCAATTATATCCAATTTCGTCCTTTTCAGGACGAAATTATTTGTCATTTGAAGCCCTACTCTGGCTTTTGCCGGGGGCCGCAATATAGGAAGGCACTACATTATGGCCAAATGCCTGTAACGCGGTTTCTGGGACCATCTCCACGGCGATCCATCATCCGCTGGTGGCATTGTGTGTCATCGGGGTTTATCGCTTGTGTGATGTCTGGTGGGGTAGAAATCAGTAAGCAGCCAGA